GTGTGTGTGTGTGTGTGTGTGTGTGTGTGTGTGTGTGTGTGTGTGTGCGCGTGCGTGCGTGTGTGTACACTGATTTCAGTGCCTCTCTGTAGTCCGGCATCACTTGGAGGCGAGTGAGTTAGCTGGATCTGAAGGTGTGTGTGAGGCTTTTAGTTTCCCTTTGTCCTCTGAGTCCATGTCCTCGCTCTGCGGCTCCTCTCCGCTGACCGTCTCCCAGACTCTGCACAGGTTCCTCACCACAGAGTCAGAGGACATGTTGGACACCATGTTTTCTAATAAATGCTGTTCACAACACCTGCCTCCTTATTTCAGTCCGTCTCTAGAGTCCATCTAGATTTGTCTTCATATTTGATAGAAGGATGGAGAACCTGCACTGGGTCCAGAGCAGACTGCTGGAGAGGAACGTTCTCACAACAACCAGGACACCGTGTATGATGACACATCAACATTTGAATAAGCATGGAGCAACTCATAAGGTAAAAACATCATGAGCCCACAACCTAATACAGTTGTGCATAATAGAATAAGAAATGACATGAGAAAAAGAAAACTTAAGAAACAAAGTAGAATGATGAGTTCAGTGCATCGTGGAATAGTCTCCTTGTGTTCTGAAAGCACACAAGGAGTGTTTGCCTACTTTAGATTATTCTGGAATAATTACATACAATAAATGGAACAATTATCTGACAAGAAGGGTTCCTTTTGCTTAGCTTATATTTTCTCATTGTATTAACTTATTTCATTATGTTTGAATCTTATTAGGTTATGTGCTTGTGGTTTTTCTTACATTATGTGACGATTAATACATTCTGAGGTTTAATTAAATTTCAATTAATAAGTTGCTACATATGAATCTAATAGTTCTAACTGAACAATATTGTTTTGGAGTTTAAACCTTTAAACTAGCACCAGAGACATGTATAATAGCTGACTCAGATTAAATGTGTATTTAATCTTTATATAACCTTTTGGCACAAAAATCAAACCCATTAAATCTCAGAGGAGAACATGTGGCGAGAGTTCTTCACTGACCTTCACACAGCTGTGTTCAACAAAGAGGCTTTAGAAAGCAGCGCGCTCTCTCTGACTCTCTCTCATGGCAACATCATATATAAATACCACCGGGCTGCACTGATTGGCTGAGAGCACAGACTACGTGGATCACGTTTTTACAGGACTGACAAAAAGATATTAGCACCATATTTTGTCCATAATGACAGAAACAAATTTTATTTTAAAAATATTTCACTGCTGATACATACAATACACTCATCATACTCATATATATATATTTGCATAAAGTATACTCTTAACATGATAATATTTAAAGATTTGATACATTATTGATAGTCAGGTGGGGAGGGGTATATCGACAAGAGGAACACTTTATTGTAGTGTGTAGCGTAAAACAATGAAACAAAACCACTAGAACAGATACAGCTGCTGCCTGATTGGAAGAGGACAGGAGGGGGCGGAGCCTGGGCTCAGCAGGTATTTCATGGTCAACAGTCTTGTTACAACCCGCCCGTGTTCACAGGGACTGCTGCAGCTCTTGCACCATTTTGCATCCCCGATGGGAGAGAATCTCCTCATGTTCAGCCAGAGATTAAAAACGTAAGTAAGAAAGTGTCTGCCCAGTTTTTGTGAAACATAGATCCCCTTCATCATCCATCCATATGGTGACGTGGTCAGCAGCAGTGAGCGCTGGAACAACGCTCTGGGTTCTTTGGCTTTCAGAACACCTGATGCTTAGCTCTGTGAATCTAACAATACATGAGAGGGATGGACAGAACTCGTGAATCTAAAATGAATGTCCAGCATATTTCAGGACTTATTTGTTTTCAAAAATCCAACAGTCATGTTTCAAGATCAAGAATATATATTAGTAGTTGTTACAGACACATCCACCTCCGATGAAAGTGAGCTGCGAGGGGAAGAGGATGTAAGACCCACACTGCATTCAGACCGCCCCAGGACACCACGAGCTCTGTCCCCTATGACTTTCATCCGTCTTCTGTACTCGCCCTGTCCACATTCTAGCCCTCTGCTAACAGCCCGGTCACATGTAGCCACAGCGCCACTGAGTGTCATCAAGTGCTAAACAGATCCATCACTGAATCTAACGCAGGGGTCTTGGTTCTTGAAGAAGTTACAAGGGGTCACTTCCTCTGTTTTCATCTGAAGCTCAGGTTCAACGTTCAAGAAAATCCACAGTCAGCCCTCCTGTTGCTGGTACAGAGCATTGCGAGTCGAACTGCATCATTAAGTGCTCCATAAGGGTACTGGTGTAGAGGGAGAATGTGACCCAGGCCACCAGGTGTTTCTGTTAGCGGGCTGATGCTAGTCAGCCTGCTAACATGTGTTAGCCTGTAGACTGCAGAGTGAGTGTGTAGTTGGTTGGTTGGCACACCTCGAGTTGCTGTTTAAAGAGACATACAGCTGTTTACTGGTCCATCATGGTGGACCAGTAAACACACACTAGACAAAGCAGTGGTGTTCTTCACTGGAACTGTATTGTGTTGGATCTGAGCAGACAGCTGTGATCTCATGCACGTGTCACACACATACATGCTGATGGTGGTGGTGGGGATGATGCAGCCAGAATGTGAACTGTGCAGTCCATCCACCTGTCCTCCATTGTTGTGTATTGTCTTTTTGAGGGTCAGTGGGGGTGCGGCCTCTCCCAGCATGCACTAGGTGAGAGACGGGGTAGAGCTGGACAGGAAAGGGCGGACGCCAAAGCTGCATCTCAGTTCCATAACCACGTACACCTTTATATGGTATACGGAATTTGTTTTTACTATCAAAATAAATGATGGAATTAATTAAAGACATTCAATGTCAACTGAACTGCAGCTTCTGATGTTTTTGATTTCTGAAGTGTTTTTTTTCCTTCCTTTGTGCACTGAACAGTGAGCATCTCCAGCACACTCAAAGATCAAAGGGGTTCATACCAATGCTGTTTTTCAGGCTGAGCAGCTGCTTACACACCGTATGTAGTCTGGACCACAGAGTCTGGGACGGGTGGGTGGAGCTCGGTGTAGTGGACGCAGTGGGGACTGAAGGGCAGGTGATGCAAACTGGTTCACAATGAATACATTTGTCTGAGAGAGTGATTGCATTGTCAGAATCTGCCCCATGAGTTATGATTATTTCCAGTGATGAGGACTCGGATTGAGAAGCTCTAAGGGTCCAGACACATCGAGCTTTAACTTTGCCAGCGTCTCTCTGTTTGGGTGTTCGGGTCACAGTTTGGATCTCGTCCCATCACCCCACTGGTTCATCATTATGCAGACCTCCACTGAGCCAGTCATACGAATCACTGGCTGCCACAGCAGGAGCATTATCGTTAAATGTATCCTCTCAACTTCCTTCTGGCAGATGTCCTGCAAGTAGTTTGTGTCTGAAACTTTTCAAATGTGTTGTAAAAAGTGGGACCATGTGACGGAGTCGCTGATAACTGTGGTGTGAGTTAAGGAAACAGCAGCTCGGAGTCTTTTTCCTTTAAATGGACTGAAATACACCTGCTTGTGAAATTTTGTGGCTCTGGAATAAAAGGACCTCTAAGAATCTTCTGAGCAAATCTTCAGAAGATAACTGCTGTGTCCATTTCCCATGCCGAAGATCAGCTGGCTTTTGTTTTGGGGGGGTGGGGTGCACCTCAGCAGTGTCTGTACAGCATCAACCTACAGGGACACGTGAGTGTACAGCTGGAGATGTTTAGCTGTTTGTGAACGTCTCAGGAGACAGAGTTCAGTCCACTAGCAGACACGCTGCATCCTGGGACCTGTTAGAGAGACGCTCTCTCACCGTGGCAATGTTAGGGACACCCAGTCTGCAGGCGACACTGCAAAAAAGGACCATCTTAACACTTCATTTACATAAAATCCCAAAGAAAGTCAGGGTCACTTGTGCACCTACAGGGAATGACGAATGAGAAAGTAGGAGTGAAATCCAGCAGTGAGAGCCTGACAGGATCTCCTCTTGTATGTAGTACTTTTGGGAAAACGTTCAGTATCTACAGCCTTTTCTATGACAATAGAATGAGCTAAGATGGATGTTTGTTGCAGTGTAGTTGTTACAGAGGGCTGAACTCTGTCCATCTGGTGCTAATAGGTCCGTCTCCCTCTGCGTCCTCACAAAGGCCAGGGCAGGTCGCTGAAGTCCACGGGGCCGCCCAGGCCGGCGTCCGCCTCCAGCAGGGACATGATGACGGCCATGGCCGCCTCGTCGTTGCTGGGACTGCTGGAACCGGGATCGTCCATGATGTCTATACTCAGGTGGGAGTTGTCACCTGGAGGGAGGACGAGTGGTTGAGAAAGCACCAAAATAAACTCGGTAAGAGAGTATTTAGTGTGTGTTAATGTCCAACTCACTCATGATGGACTGGTTGGAGTAGGGGTAGCCTACAGAATCAGGTCCAGGAAGGATCCCTGTGCTTGGCAGCTCGGGTGTCCCTCCATTCTGAATCTGTAGATGTGAGAGAGAGAGACACACACACACACACACACACACACACACACAAAAAATCAGTTTCCTCTCAGAACAGACAGTGTAGGATGTGTCAGTGTAAATGTACATGCATCACATCTTCCTAGACAGAGCTAGGCTACCCGTTACAGAGGGAAACTGCAGCTGCTAAGCTAACCAGCCGCTGGCTGTTGCGTCATGTCCATGGTTCACACCTGAGAGGGGACTGGATCTTCTCATATAACTCTCAGAAAGAAAGCCAATAAGCTCATTTCACACTGTCTAACTCGTCCTTCAGATCAACGGCTGGCTAAATCTCTGCTCATCAGGTCAAACATCGGATGACATCCGTGCTGAAACAACAAGCTGCAGATGTTTAATGGAGGACGTCACACCACATTAATCATGGAACATGGAGCTGAACCAATCAGCTGAAAGGGAAGTCAGATATGATCAAATGCTTCTGAAGGTGTACATGTGTTACCTTCTTGCCCCCTGGGGAGCAGGTGTCAGCTGGGGGTGTGCTGGTGATGTTCAGAGGGCTGGAGCCACAGCTGGAGGGGGAGGAGCCTCGGATCCTGACAGACACAGAGACACAGATGGTTTTTATTAGGCTATGTTATAGATTTGATTTCCTAATCATCAACCTCAGTGGAGTCATAGTATGTCATTTGGGTAACAGGTTTTAAGACATGTGACATTTTACCAGTGTTGCCATGACAGTAAGTAGACATTACATCCTTCAGTGGAGACTAGCTGTCTGAGTCAGCGTCAGTCAGGAGGACTGAGAACAGATCGGCAGAGTCAGCACTTCTGCTACTTATTCATTTTATCGTCTGCTGTTTTTCAAATGATATGAAATGTGAAATGTTTGCATTTGCCAAGTGTGTACATGAGCCTGTGCTGTGTGCCGAGTCACTTCATCTGCTTCAGAAACGCCACCGACATGCAGCGCTCTCCTCTGCACTCACCTCTGGATCTCCATCACTTCCTCTGCAATCATGCGTCCAATTTTACCGGCTCCCGCTCTCGTGCCCCCGGGGATGCCAGGGACCGTCTGCAGCGCCCGCCTTCCTCCACCTACCAATCAACAGTTCATTGAGAAGGATGAGTGATTGACAGCGGGCGGAGGGACGGTGGACAAATGAGCATGCGTTAGTCTTTTACCCTCTGAGGTGAGAACACTGTCCATGCTCTGTGGTGAGGCAGCAGACTGAGGGTAGTCTGATCCCTCCATCACAGGACACCTGCAGAGACAAACACACGCCATGTTTCACCTACGTGTGCTCCATCATCTACTACGGGGGGACGGCGTCTACTACGGGGGACGGTGCTCTGGTCTACTTACGACACGACGGTGTTGGTGGACACGATGTACTCCACCTCCTTGGTCCAAGGGTTCATGAAGCTGAACCAGCGGCTCCTCAGCGTGATGAAAGAGCCGTCTTTGATCTTGAATTTGTAACAGTTGGTGTTGATCTTCTCTCTCATCTGCAGCACTGTGGAAACACACACACACACACACACACACACACACACACACACACTGAAGACTCCACTCCTGCTCTTCACTCAGCCACTGCACCATCAACAGCCATGAGGCAGCTACCTTGTCTGTGGCACTCTGCCAGGTGGCCGATGTCGTCCTGGTGGAAATACTCGTAGAAGGAGGTTCCCAGCAGCTCCTGGGGCAGGTAGGCTAGGATGGCTGTGGCCCTGAAGGTGAGACAGGTAGATGGAGAAAGCTTGAGTGAACTGTGACAGCTACATTCTCTGACTTCCAGCATCAGACGGATCCAGATAGAATCCAGCACCCTCTCACCTCAACTCTCTTCTTCTGCATAGGACATCTAAAGGTGACCACCTATAACAAACCCTGACCATGTTGGCTGAACCAACATCCTCTTAACACTCGTTATGTTTAACCACTCCCAGGCTCCGCCTCTATACAATGTGAGCATGATGAGAGGGGCCAGCCCGTCTGTCTGTACCAGCCCCCCCATTCATTCATCAGATGAATGAACCAATGACCGCATTGTCTTCATTTACATGAACCATCATTGGCATGTTGTAAAAGCCTTACAGTGAAGTAACAATAATAAGTAGGCTGGTTTTAAATATACGACTGTGTGTCGTCGTCTCAGAGACAGTACAGCCTTCCTCTAGTACTGGCCTTTAAAAGCATCACACATGTGTAGGGATGCCACTACATGGATTACTGTGGCAACATATATGTATCTCAAACACATTGTGATATCAAACAATATGTAAAGTAATATAATCTAGCTAGAGAGACTTTGGTCTGTCCTGCTCATTCAGCCTCTTTCTGCTCTCTAAAGGTTAGAAACACTTTTCAGTATGAAGTGATCTACAGACTCAGATGACAACAGAGATAAAGTGAAGCTGTAAAATGTGCTGAGGACGGGCCACATGTTGAACGTCCTATCACACGAATAAACCACGAGTCTCCGTTTAAAGCTCCCTCACTCTCTGGCGTCTCACCTCTGGTCAACGAAGACAAATTTGCCGTCGATGGCGTGTCGGGAGACGTACTCCGTGGGCTTCACCCGGATGTCCGCCAGACTGGGCTGGGGGACGATGTGGGGGTGCAGGCGGCCGATGGCTACCAGGCAGCTCAGGTTGCAGCCCTCGTTGTCGGGCTCGTTGTCATCGTCCAGGCCCATCTTGGTGGGGGGCCAGCTCTTCAGGTAGCCTGTGCTGTGGATGGTGCAGAAGCTCTTACGGTCCGCTGTGATGAGGGGAGAACAGGAAATGCTTTTCAGCTCAGTGAACTGAGAGTAAAGGCGTGAGCGTCTCTGATTGGCTGACCATGTGAAGCTGTTACCAAACCAGATGTAGAAACCCATAAGAGATTAAATGATGTCTTGAAGAGCTTTAATATACTGAGACTTCCATTTAGAATTATTAATAACCAAAGAAATAAAAACCTTCTTAAAAAAGTAATCATAAGGTAAAAAACTAAGTAGTGGCCACTCCCACCTTCTGGTGAAACTACAAAACAAGTCATATGGCAAATCTTTGACACAAAGCTCATCTGTGTTTCACATTTTCCATATGTTAAGATTCCGTAGCATCTCATTCCACACACACGTTATGTCAAGAGACACCACTAAAATACTGTGCAAGATCATTCCTGCAGAACTCAGTGTCCAACATGACTCCACTAAACAAGAGAATCATGACGGCTTCTATGTAAAAGCTCACAGGCGTAACGAGAAGAAGAAGGAGGAAGACAACGAGAACATCCTCCATGAAGTCCAGCGTAACAGGAAGCTAAGGACACTAACTTATCAGCCGCTCTCGCTCCCGTTCTTAAACCTTTCTACCACCGATGCTTTGACCCTTTTTTGATGTATACCCTCCTGTTTTTACCTCCTTTTGAGTTTCTCCAGATGTCGGCAGTTAGGGCTCTGAGTGGTGACCTGCATGTAGTACACATTACACCGAGCCTGAACGCAGCCTGTGCAGGTTTATGTCTTTATTTATCTTCTAAAAATTAAAACACAAGTACCTGAATATTGTATCAACATGAGCCTCTGAGGAGTTCGGTCATATTTTTCAGCATCAGGAACAGCTCGGGGTTCAGTGGACACGTGGAGAGCAGGAGCCGGGGATCGAACTGCCGGTCTTTGTGGTGAGAGGATGCCCGTGCACAAACATGTTGGTCGGTACTCATAGCCACAGGGCCATTTATGACAGTAACGCTCATAACCAGGTGTTTCATGGCTCTGTGTGATCAGGTTCAGTGAAGTGCAGCATGGAGTCTGATGGCTCAGTGCAGATGGAAGATGGACTCAGTGAACCCGTTTGTCCCAGAATGAACCAAACTACTGGTGTTAAAGCTCCCTCACTTCCCACAATGTGCCAGCTATCACTATTCTTAATATTTGTGAGTTCTACTCCCATTATAGCAGCGACAGCGATCACTGCGTGCTACTCGACATCTCTCTGGGATACTAGGCCTTGCGTGATAAAACCCAGTTTGCTATGTACTTAAAGAGGCCTACTTCCTTGGTTGTGTAACGGAGAGGTTCTCCGATCACTGATGTGTGGTTCCTGGCTCTAATCGGGATGGAAGAGCAGCAGAGCAGGGCTTTGGTAACGAGGTAGCTGAGAGACTGAAAGTAGCTGAGGTAACAGCTGGAGGTGGAGAAGAAGCTGCTGGGCAGCCTGACACTTTAGGGTAAGAGGAGGAATGTGGGTGACAGAATTGAATCCATGTTTGAAGAGAAAGTACCTTTTTTCTTGGAACAGGTGGAGGGAAAGTCCTTGTCCTCTACTTTGACAGAGGGCCTGTTGCACTTCATCCTGCAGAAAAAGGAGCGCCGGGCTCCAGAGCAGAGACGGGACGGTCCGGGGGTGATGTCCGTCTTCACTGGAAGACCCGCTGCAAACACACACACACACACACACACACACACACACACACACACACACACACACACACACACACACACACACACACACACACACACACACACACACACAACGAGGGACAGCTTCAGAGACCATCACTGGATTGAGTCGTTTCTCACATCCGGTGCAATGTTAGAGGCTAAAGTGTTTTATTCTCAAATACACAAAAATAACATGAACCAATACAACATGAGATTTCTATCTTCACTTCCTTGAATGATGCTCATTCCTTCCATCCTGCAGAAAATGAATTCAACTATTACTAGCTGCGTCCCCGTGTCCTTGTCATAGCTTTCTACTTGCTTTTAGTCATATTTCCATCTCCTCTCGGCTGTGTATGATCCCCATGTAAACGCTCCCTCGTCGTGCTACGGCTGCTTCATATCACACAACACAGGCAGCCTGGAGGTTGCTGGCAGACACAGTTTGGTTTGGTAATGTGAGAACACTTCAGATTAAGATGGAGGCTCAGGCTGGACCACAGTCCTGATTCTGCATGCTTGGCCTTACTTTTAGCATCGATGAGCCTCTCTCGTGGGGCCGTGTCGGAGGAGGACAGCTGCTCTTTGACCTTGGCAATGTCCTTGGGGTGAAGGTAGTCGAACAGGCTCTGACCTATCAGGTCGTTCTGAAGACGTGAGCGACACCGAGAGAGAACAGAGGGACTGAAGTCAGACGGGAACAGAGCACAGAACTACTAACTAAAATCTTCTACTAGCGTTAGAGGGAAACGCTCTAAACGCTCTTTCCTCCCAACACAACCACGGCCAGCATACCTGGCTGTAGTTGAGAATCTTGTAGACGGATTCAGAAACAAAGAGGATCTTTCCACGGTCGCACCCGACCACAAACAGGAAACCATCAGCAGCCTGCATCGTCAAACACAAAGCTCTATGAGCTCTTCAGAAACACAGTGTGATACAGCTCTAGAACATGCAGCTTGATGTTGAGAGACGAGGCTGAACATCACGAGTAAGAAGAGGATGTAACAGCAGCGTGGTGCTACACTGTTCATTACTTAACGACACGGTGGAAGTGTTGGCTGTCTGGTCATGTGAACTGCACTCACCCTTAATATCAAGTGCTTCAGCTCGTCATCAGAGAGGAAGGCGGGCTTGTAGTTGGCCTCTGTGTACGGGTTGGCTGCACCTGCACACAACAGTAAAGGTATTCACACTGCAGCTGCACATCCAACAGCCTGTCTGCTATTTCACATCTTCCAGAATTCTGCTAAACAGACATGTTTTACTGGAACATGAGGAACAGCTCAGTCCCTGATAGGGTGAAATTCATACTCGTCGTTAGTCGTTTACAGTACCAGCCACAGCTAACCCAAACCCTCACACGTCGTTCATCCTGACCTCTGAGTGTCTTCATGTGCTGGACAGCCATGCGCAGCACCGTCAGCTTGTCTAGTTTGCGGGACATGGCGTTACAGGTGGGCACCAGCGATGCCAGCTCGTCGATGAAGCTGTTCATCTTGTCCCTGCGGCGCTTCTCGATCTGGCTGTGAGCCTCTCTGTGGAGGGACAAGCACCAGACATCAGCAGTGATCACACGGAGGACTCTCTTCTTCTCCCATCTGGCTGGCAGTCATCCCAACAAATCCAAAAATCCCTCTCACCTGTTGTATAAAAAGACAGAATCCAGAAAAGTGTGGAAGTTATCGTAACATGCTATAAATCTCAACACTAAGTAGCGGCTGCCCTCTCCAGATGAAGTGCCTCGGTGTTGTCTGTCCTTCAGCACCGTGACAACACGTCTCTGTTCTGTCTCCACTAGCTGCTACTAAATCCAGCGTTCTTTACCACGCAACAGAAAGAGAGCTAGTCATCAGCCACCAGGTATGCTCTTACAGTCCCCGAGTTCCACATAATGCTCTGATCTATACACGTCAATGTATAAAGTTTCTTACTATCAACGCACACAAAGCTCCCTCTGTTCAATGAGACAGAGGGACATTTAATGCATGCGAGGGAGATGAGAAGGTATGAGGAGGCAGTGAGAGAGAACTGAAGGAGCTTCTATACCTGGCATTCTTAATCCGGCCCTGCTGGTCACTGGAACGACAAACAGAGCAATATTAGAGAAGAGGAGGTTCTGTAACCAGCATCGAGCTCTTTCTCACACACACAGAGTTATGTAAAAGTGGAACAATTATTTACGCCCCCCCCCCAAAAGCTCTGCCCTACACAGACTGACTGACTTTCCGCATCTCAGCAGATTTAGGAAGAGTTTACCGCATTGACACATTTAGAGTTGAGATTAAAGGTTTCAGTTTTCCAGTTCCCCTTTTAAACAAGTTAAAAAGCTATTTTCTAAACACCTTCAGTCATATCTAGTCATGCAGACAGTGTGCTGTATACCTGAATGTCACCGTGCCTCAGAACAGGTTTACTCCTGCGAGTAAAGTCACGTTTAATCCTCACGCATGGATTTGTCTTAGAAATCTTAACTGTGAGTGTGTGTTCCTGAAAGTGTGTTGCTATGGAAGGCTACACGGTCACTCTGTTGAAGACAAGAATCATCAACTAGAATTACCGTCAGCTTACATCCACATCTGTCCAAAATGTCATCACTTCATCATTTTACACATTTGTGTGGAATACTCATAACTAGCGTATGAATTCAGACCTCCTGAGATATGACGTTAGAAATCAGCAGACAATGAGATGGTTAGACGTGTCAGAAAATATTAGTAATAAAAGTACAGCTGTCAGCACGACAGAGACAAAAGGAAGGGTTTGACACGGCGAGAGATGACAGAATATGTCTTGCTGCAGCAGAGCGGAACAAGGACCGTGTTCCAGAACGTTACACCGTTGGGTGCTACAGAGGATGTTCCCCTGGACAGCATGGACACCCTCAGTGTGAGGGAGAGTACACAACCAATCAAATGAAGGGCCTTTTCCAGAGTAACGCCAGGAGCATCTGCAGCTACGCATCAATGTTTTATCTTTGCAGGGATGATATTGGATCATAGAATCCTGGAGTCCACCACGTGCAACGTGGTCCTCTTCCCCTTTTGTAAAGAGGACCCGCCCCCTTTAGAGATATAAAGGGCTCATTTAAAGGCAACTAAAACAGCTGATTATACACTAATAAACACATACTTATGAATATTATATTCAGGTGTGTATAAGAGAAATAGATTTAGTATAAAAGTCATGTTCTACTCCTGTGAGCTCCACTAACCGAACCTCTTCATGGTGTCGGTGTGCTGTTAGACATCTCAAGAGATGGATCTCTGACAAATCAAAAGACAACTATCCACTTTGATAGACATCACTGGAGGTCAGAGAGGAAATATGGTTCTTATGATTATGGGATGGGATAGAAATACAACACTACTGAGGATTAAAGCACCTGCTTTATCTTACCTTCCCAGTTTATCTTTGTCTGGGTCCATGTCACTAACGAGCAAAGACAGGAGAGGTTAGTGTACACCGGAACATTCATAAACCCACAGCACTGTCTAAGAGCAAGGGGCTCACTGGGCTCACTGCCTCGGGTTTTCAGTCTACTCAATATCTCATGCTGTAAAATCTATTGAGGGTCATTGATATAGAAATCCTTTTTATTGTCATATACACATACACGAAATTTGACTTCTGCATTTGACCCATCCCTGTATATAGGGAGCAGTATGTCAGATGAATTAAACCTTGTGCAACATCTATCAACATTGAGTCAGGTTTGAACTTACTCAAATGAGAAGCCATCAATTCTGTAAAGAAACACAAATGTATTAATGAAAATGAGAAATGTGAATATTTACAATGTGTAAAAAAACAACGGACTACTCTACCAGAGTACAGATTTTGCTTGCTTTCTTTCCTGCACTACTTCCCACATCTTATTCCCTCCTTTCTTTCTCTCCACCCTGCCTTTAGTTCCATTTGTTGCCTTGTATAATCTTCTTCAGCCCTTCTTCTGTCCTTTCTTTATTTCCTCTCTCTCTCCTCCGGGTGTCCTTACTGGTAATCGGTAGTGCTGCCCTTCCTCTTGCGGGTGTAGTCCATGCCAGGCGTGCTGATGGAGCTGGAGATGAGGTCAGTGGAGCCGGGGGACATGAAGTCAGTCATCGTAGACGAGATGTCCATCCTTTGGTCTGCCATCAGGTCATCTGCAGAGCAGAGACAAAAACCGGACTTTACTGAAGGGACTAGGAATGAACTGGTGGGTTCAGCTGTTCTGGAATTCCTGAAGCTTGCAGTCTCACAGGTAACCCATTTAGGAGTGGAAATAAATGAAGTTCTGTGTGATATTGTTACTTTTATTTAAAATACATGAAGTTTGCAGGCTCCTACGTCAACAGACAAGAGAAACTCACAAACACAGTGCAGTACAGACCGCTTCCATAACATTAAACTGCCAACTAAGAACCAAGGCATGCGAATGATGAGTCATGTTATCTTACCGACAAGAAATCCTTAGAGGAGTTCAGGTCAGCATCTGAGGTTGGGAGCGTTTTGATTGCCTCCTAACGGCTCTCAACATGTTGACAGCGAGCCTGAGGCTAGCAGCTGACGGTGCTAGCAGAGAAAGTGCTGACAGAGCGAACAGTGGAGGGGAAACATGAGGCGGGGTTCTACGTTCAGTCATGGAAACGTACCATGACTGTGACCGCCGTATGAGAGCAGAGCAGTGAGCTAACCAGCGGGACACGATCACGTGCACCAACATGCACACTGCCGACCGGCTATGTGAACAAAGAGATGAGAGGCTCTGATAACAACACACACTCCTCCATATCTATACATAGATGATAGATGTTGATGAGATATTAATGATCTGAATGTGAATACAGCAAAGATCAAAGTGGTCTCCGTGGAAACATCTAGTAAGGAGAGCTCCGGACATTCCTCTTCCTTAGGACCGTCTCTGTTATCAAGTCCCACTCACCACAGATGTTCATCACAGCCTCTGTGTTAAAATCATCTCCTTCCATCCACTCTGGAGCCCTCAACTGTGAACACACAACATGAAGGGTCAGTCCCAGCAGGAGAGCGGCCCTTCTGAAACTAGACACACAGTTAGAGCTTCAGACATCGTGGCATCCAGGAGGTCACGTGTGGAGGAAGACACCATGTCTCATACCGTACGGTTTACATTACAGTCACAGTGGTGTGTCATGTGTAGGGATGGGTACCGAGAACCCGACCAGAGCATTGATGAGCTACGATGTTAGAGGAATTCATCTTATTGACAGTTTAGATTTGTTTCCAGTGAGATATTTCTAAGTATAATGACTCTGCTGTTTCCAGTCAGCCCTACGCTAACTACTGGTCAACCCTACGCTAACTACCGGTCAGCCCTACGAGAGCTACCGGTCAGCCCTACGAGAGCTACCGGTCAACCGTACGCTAACTACCGGTCAGCCCTACGCTAACTACCGGTCAGCCCTGATGCTAACTACCGGTCAGCCCTGATGCTAACCTGAATGGGGACAAAGCAATTCAATCATCCGGCTCTTCAATGATATCCGACCAAAAAGATACAATTCTGGAGGTTGTAATGGAAAATAAATCTCATACATATTCATCATCATCATCATGGAAGATTTTAGCGTGAAGAACTTGGAGAACATTCTATCACACAGCCCTACAGTGTTCTGCAGTGGTGGTTTTAGACTTTCTCAGGGTCTGAATGTATTATTGCCCATCAAATTCACTTTTCATGATAATAAGACATATGCCTATTCAAAAGTATAATCCAATACACTTCAAATTCTGCTGATACACATACACTGTAAGTAGGAAACACACAAAGTGAACTGTATCCAATGTCCTTTTTTACATTCCAAGCTTCAAATGTCTGTTTGTAGCTGAGCTGCCTCCCCAACATTCACTTCATTTTCTGTTGAAAGAGCAGCAGACAGCTTTCCTTGGTTCACACTGACCTCAGTGAAGGGAGGAGCAGAGCTGCTTCTGCTTCACTTACCTGGATAGGACACTGGAACAGGCCTCCTGGAGGGGGCCGGGTTTTGTCTGGATCAGTCTGGTCTGCTTCGTCCTGGTCTAGTCTCAGTCTGATTCGATTCAGCCGGACCTAGTTCCATCCGGTTTGATGTGGTCAGTGTGCCCCGATATGAACTGACCCTCAAACAGCTGATGCAACCAGTCTACCCCCTGGAGAGAGGAGAAAAGAAAAGTCAGTTAAATGTAAATGTAGTCTCACTAATCTAAAGATGTAAACAAAAGACATCAGAAATTGAAAACAACATATGTAAGTAACATTACAAAACTTGATTAAAAGCAAAACATGAAACACAAAAACAATTGAAGTCGTTATGTTCTCGACTGCTGACCTGAAAAAAGTGAATCTGGGCTATTTGGATCGTTTCCTGATGCTCCATCCGTCTCCGGCTAACTTTCCGGTTTTAAACCCAGTAAACCGGCTCTTAATCATACATATGGAGAAGCTATTATGCTAAAAGACTGAGGCTAAAGCTATGTCAGAACCCTGTGTGGCTGGTGTGCGTCCCTACGTGTTTGTATTTTAAACCGCTATGTTTTCACTATCTAGTTAGACCAGAAACAAATGAAGAGGACAATTAGGATGTGGATTAACTGATGTGTTTGGCAAATGTAATGCTTTCACAGGTAGTGTTGGCTGGTGTTGCTGGACTGTTAACTTAGCATAGCATAGATCAGAGTCGCTAACGTGAGCCTAAACTGCTGCCCACTTCAACCTGTGTAATCTGGGGATTTTCTTTGATCGATCCATGTCGTTTGAGCCCCATGTTAAGCAGCTGTCCAGATCATGTTTCTTCCACCTAAGAAATAACAGTAAACTGAGATCTGTAGTATCAACACCTGAACTAGAGATGATCATACACACATTCATCTCTTCACGCATTGACTACTGTAACACTCTTTTCTCATCACTCAGTGTAGCTGCTCTTAACCGCTTGCAGGTAATCCAAAACGCTGCCGCCAGATTACTCACCAGGACAAACCGACGGTCTCACATCACCCCCATACTCAGATCTCTCCACTGGCTACCTGTAGCATTTAGGATACACTTTAGAATCCTCACTCTCACTTACAGAGCACTACACGGTCAGGCTCCTACATATGTAGCTGAACTACTTCACCCTTATTCACCCTCCCGTGCTCTCAGGTCAAACATGTTAAATTATCTGTCTGTCCCACGCACACGACTTAAGACCCGTGGTGACCGAGCCTTTGAGGCAGTAGCACCAAAGCAGTGGAATGCTCTGCCTGCACCTCTACGCTTTGCTGTTTCTGTGAATTCATTCCAGAATCTGCTTAAGACACACCCGTTTAGACTAAAAACTCATGGCCTAGGCCTGCTTTTAAACCACGTTTTAATTTTGTACTTACTGTGTGTGTGTAAACTATTGGCCCTTATATGGTCACATTGTGTTGTTTATGTTTGTAATCCTGCCCTGTTAAGCACTTTGTGACTTATGTCTGTAAAAAGCACTTTATAAATAAATCTTACTTACTTACTAAACTCTGACAGCATTTAGCACCAGTTTCAACCCAGTAGAGGGAAATACTCCACAGTGGAAGTGCTATTTGTGAACAAGGCTTTTTAAAATCACAAGTCAAACATGCAAAAATATCCTAAATCTCTAGGAGTCATACTTGCCTAAACTATTTTATAATATAATGTGAGAATGCGTGTGCTAGTCAGACATCAGAGAGGCCGCCTACGCTAATCGTTAAAAAAAAAATTCTAAAATGCAATTACATAAACTCACATTCTATAGTCGGACTGAGCAACATTTAGTAAAAGGATGTTACTCATATGATTCTTGTCATTGGTCACTTCGTCAGGCTGACCCAGTAGAAGTGTGTGTGGTGTTGTATTTGCAGAGACCCTCCCTCTGCATGGATCTTCTCTTCTGTCTCAGAGAGCAGGTGCCAGGTTAAAGAACGCATCAGAGAGGATGCTACAAAAATGGCGGACACAGCGCCAAACAAAAACATAGTGAGGCAAAGCTCCAAGTGGACAAAGCCGTTTCCAGAACGAGAGTGAATCTGAGGTAGAGTCTCACCAGCCAGCCCCATTGAGCCGGGGAGGAGGGGCCAACTTTTGATGTTAGTTCACAAACTGAAAATCCTACTCACTGTGCCTTTCAGAAAAGATGGTACAACAAAAGTCAGTCTGAAAGTGAGACTGAATCCTATCAGCATCCGATTCACACTTGGGCAGTTCAAATGTTTAATGTACTGTGACAGCAACATGCAGAGCAGCTGAGTTCTAGGTCAGGACCGGCTTGGTGAGCCGCGCTGGGACAAAGCTCTGGGCTGCAGGGGAAAACCACGGTGTCATGATTGAACACTGAAAGGAACCGGTGCTGGGGAGTGGAAACTGGGTCAGCCAGTCTCTGTGGTCTCAAAACCAGCCAGCTTTGATTTCCATCCACCACCTACTTCTACTTCATCAGTGAGTCAGCTCGACATTCAGCTGGGTTTTGCTGCTCTACACTTTACACCAACCCACCCTCAATCACAGCTCTAAAGACACTGTCACAAATAGTTCACTGATAAAAGCACTCTTAACATGTCTGATGATTTTACAAAGATGGACAATTACTTTTTTTAGAAACAGGAGGTCTTAAAACCTACATCTGAGTTGATATTTTTCAGCCAAACTAAATAGTTTACAGGATATTCAACATTCGTTCCTTTATAATGCATTTTATACTTGATGTCTTTCTTTACAGGGCTTGTACAAAGACAATAAAGTAGTCCATTGTTATGAAATATGAGTTTACAGATAATTACAATCCCTCTTCGTCATCATGGAGGTTGTTTTTTGGCTTTTTGCTGGTTACTCGTTGTCCTCTTGTTTCTTCACAGTACATGTTGTTTGTACTCCCTCTGGCATTTGGGAACAATGCAATGAACAGCGCGTTTAAGTCCCAATTATCAGATCGATCTCAGTTTGTAAATGATGAAACCTCGATGAAGACCAACGTTAGTCACATAGTTCCACAAGGTTCTGTGCTTGGACCAATTTTATTCACCTTATACATGCTTCCTTTAGGCAATATTATCAGAAAACACTCCATGAACTTTATTGCTATGCAGATGATACTCAATTATATCTATCGATCAAACCAGATGAAACCAATCAGCTCACTAAACTTAAAGCATGTCTTAAGGACATAAAAACCTGGATGACCAGAACACCTCAGAAATCAGTTATCTGATGATGTAGTTTCTCTAGAAGGCATTGCTCTGGCATCCAGCAGCACCATAAAGAATCTCAGAGTTATCTTTGATCAGGATATGTTTATAGTTAGGGCGGGCTCAGGTTTGCCTTGGACCAGCCCCTAGATAAGCTGCTATAGGCCTAGACTACCGGGGGACTTCCTACGATACACTGAGCTCCTCTCTCCTCTTCTCTCTCTCTCTTTCTGTATGAATTCATATCTCATTAATGCTCATTACCAACTTTGCTTCTTCCTCAGAGACACCCACTGCCACTATCATTATCAGTCACATTACTATTACTGATACCATTATTTATTTTATTGTCATCCTACTATATCCACTGCTGCTGCTGCTGTTGTTATTAGTAGTCATAATGTTTCCATCATCATTCTGTTTACTACTCTCATGATATGAATCATATCTGTCATATGCATAATGTGTTGTAACTCTGTTATGATGTTCATTGTGTACCCATGACATCTATCACACTTCTGTCCATCCTGAGGGATCCTCCTCTGTTAATCTCCCTAAGGTTTCTTCCTTTTCTTTCTCCCGGATGAAAGAACTGTGTAGTAATGAACCCACAGAGAATGATCACTGTCGCTCAGCTCGTGGTTTTTGTTTTAGAGAACTTCTGACTAACTGATGCAGTGCAGACTCACTGGGAAAGTGGCTACGTGTGTCCGTGACACTGCATGCAGTGGTACTAGGTGCGGTTGTGTCGTATTAGTTTTATGTGTGCAAGTATGAGAACATGAGCACAGAACTGGACCAATACTACTTGCAACTAAGCTTGATTATCCAGTCTAGGCCAATAGCTGTTGAAGCAAAACTAGCTAAGAATGTCCTCTGTTCTATAATCATGAGATTATACTGCTGGTGGATAACAGCAGCCACTGCTGTACCAGCTCTTAGGACTGCAGGTAGCCTGGAGCCTGCCAGTCTGGATAGACCACGGACGTGTAAGGCCTTCAAAGAGTAAATATATGCCATTAGTCATTTGCTGTATTTTCTCACTGTACTGTTTTCAGTCTCACATTGTATCACAGCTGAGAGCAACAGTTCGTTCTAAAGTGCAGAGGGTGTGAGCTTGTTAAAGACACACACACATCCTTATCATCACTAAGTCAAACCCCGGAGATACACATGCAGTTACATAAAGACATGCATTCTCAACACATTTACCTTACTTGCAGCAACAAGGAACAGAAGTGCTGCCTGAACACAATACATGGGAGTTCCAAAAAGGTTTTCCTAATATTTGTTTCCTTAGCAACAGATTTCTTTGATTATGGGGTTTCAGGAAGTGTATAAAGCGCATGGCCAATAATAGAGGCTTTGGGTAGTAGACATCAGGGCAATATGCTGCATTTGACTGCTCAGAGATCCTTGGGTCTTTGTTACTGAAAATGTCTTTCACCCTTCTGGATGCACGTTATCATTTACATCATATGCATTGAATGTGTTGTAACTCTGTAATGTTGTTCATTCTGTACACGTGACATCTATCACACTTCTGTTCATCCTGATAGTGGGATCCCTCCTCTTTTGATCTCTGAGGCTTCTTCCTTTTTTTTTATACCCGTTAAAGGTCTTTTGGAGATTATTATTGTACCGATGTGAGGCATGAGTAGCAGAATGCGGCTTACTACGTCATCGTTTCCAAACTTATGCGTTTACGCCGTCCACACGACAAGGCAACTCTGGAGTTTTCAAATGTATCCGTCCTCGGGAGTGTTTCTAAACTCCTCCGTTTTCGGTGCTCTAAAATGCCGGCGTAGTGTGGACGCTCAGTGTAAACGTAGCAAAAGAGATGCATTTTAAAATGGAGACGTAGTGTGGACATGGCCTCAGTCAGTAAGTAAGATAAACGGATTGCAGTTGGATACAGCTGCTAGAAATTGTTTTCTCAGAGCATCCTGTTGCCTCCATGAATAAATAAACAGACTGTAGCTCATGCCAACTTATAAAATAAAGGACCTGGCTTTGTTGAGATGGTCAGTCTGGTGTTTCAGTTCTTGGGAGAGCCCTGAAATGACAGAGTCCCCTCTACACACAACAAACGTCGCTATTCGTCTGAGAATAACTCATCATTAACGACGATGCATAATTAATAACGTATGATTACTGTTCCTTATTCAATGTATGGGATATTTGAGAATTTTGATGTAATGTATATATTAAAACAAGACAAGACACAGCAAGCATCAAATATCACAATATTTTGGAATAGGTACCTCGGTATCCATAATTTGGGAAGATACGAGAAAACGTTGAGAATAGTTAGTTGACCTTTCGCTAAGTCCGGCCAATCATAGTGTAGCTCTGACCAGCAGCTCTACTCCATAAACTCATCAATGCTTTCGGGCTGTTTTAGTGGATTTGGAGCTCGTCATGGCTAAACGTTGTGTAATAGTGATACTCGTTACCCGGAGAGGTTGGAAGGAGAAACACTTTTCTAGAATGTTACATTTCTGCATAAAAACCTGTGGAGCTAACATTAGCATCATGAACTAGCGGTAGCACTGGGAGCAGGGAGAAATGGATTCACGTAAGACCTAAGACTCTTATCTTCTAAGATTCTGAATGGATTCTGTCGCTCTATGTGCCGATTCCAGAATAGATTGTGAATCTGGAATCAATTTATCTAGAATCAACTTTAAATCGAATCAAGAGATACTGAAAGATTCACTCCCCTGTAAGTAGGTCTATGCTACGCTAGACACTGAAAGATTGTAACAGAGGAACAGTATTGTTCCTTAATTTCATTTTCTTCTGTCTCCATCAACAGGTGATGAGGTGGTTCACTTTCACACTGTGATCTGTAGCTTTATCTTGTTAATCTCATTTCATCTTGGATATATCCATCAAATGCACATCGTAGACCATTCGGTCTGCTTCTTTCTCAAATCAATTTGATGTTTTTACCAAAAGCTAGACAATATTTGGTCAGGGAGTGCAGTTTGTGACAGTTTGGGTTCCATGGTAACATATCTCTGAGAGCTAGACAGAGTAGCAGGGGGGGTGGGGCTTAGCCAAGGGTCAAAAACAAATGTAGAAGACAGGAAGAGACATTATTCATTTCATCCAGCAAGCACAGTCAGTACGTGCAGGAGAACGTGTATGAATCTGTATGTATCCTTCATGAGAAAAGGAACATCTCATCACATTACAATGATTTAAATTAAAATCCCCCGGCTCAAGAAGCCCAACATCAAACTGAAGCCTACTATCATCACCAGATCTCTTCGATACACCATGGAGGAATACAACCTTCTGCTACAACAGCCTTTTCACCTATTTGTTTCAATCTAATGAACATGGTCAAATTAAAACTTCCATGGATGCTTGGTGTCTTTGCAGAAATGACCATTTTATTTCTTCTTTATGGTTAATTGTGGGCCTGCTAAATCCTCACAACGAACTTGAGTTATCAAAATGCCTTTGAGGCAACACCAATCAATACTGATGAGCACTATGTAGGTTACTACCCGTCTCTGAGCATACATATCACTTATCAGTCCAAGTCTATGGTCCCGCTGGACGTCTCTCCTGTCATGAAAGGGTTAATAATACATGAACTACCACAACACTACTGTTGAAGCACAGTAGTGAGAACGAGTTATGCACAAATGGGAAAACATGTTGCAAAATACAAGTCACAAATTTAACAATCTATAACAGACCAGTGAAATATCTCAACATAAAAGCCACTGTAGACTGTCAACACTTGCTGGATTGTTTAAAAATGAATCTACAGCAGACCAAGAACCCCCATTAGAGAAGACTGTATTCCAAACAAACCAACAATCTGTGAGGATTCATGCTGACGAGTATGACTCAGAAGATGAAATAACAATGAAAAGCTGCTACTCCTGTTGGAGTCCTCCTGGAACCCTCAGAGTTCGGGATCCCCTGCTCCAAACGGCACTGATTGAGCCCGGTTCCCTGTGTAACCAAAGCCCACTGATTGAGCCCGGTGCCCCGTGTAACCAAAGCCCACTATCATGATCATCTTTTGGAAAACACCGCGGAGACTGCAGAAACCGTGCGGTCGCCACATTTCCGCTGCCAATGCCAACACCGTGTCACGATATTTCAGAAGCGAACATGTGCCTGCTGTTCGGAAGCAGCTGCGGTCCTTATAGGTTGAACTCACGGTGCTATTTGAAGAGACATACGGGGACGTGAACGGTATCGCAGCGGGGTGGATGCTGTCGAAGAAACAGAGTGCCAGATACCCACCAAGGCCAGTTTCCATAGCTAGCGTGATAGCTCTGGATAGCATTGTTCACTCAGTGTCTCGCACTTCGGACACGTTAAGTGGACATTTAACGAGCCCACGGACCGACACCTACCTGTGCACGAGCTCCCTTCGAGCCCCGACAAAATGCTGACAACCGCCAAAGCTGGCCCGTCCTACCGGGGGCGGTTTACCCTCCTTTTATCAATAACAGCATGTAGTCCCGTTGGTGGACTAATATTAGCATACAGTCGCTAGCTATGGAGCGCTAACTGTCAAGATCTGACCAGCGGCTAGCGTCCCTCCTCCTGCTCTCGAGAGCCCCACTGACATGACCACAGCGCTGGCAAAACATCGACGACATCCATCATGGTTTAAATGCCAGCAACGTCACCGAGATGCAATATTGATAACCCGGAGGCTTGTTTTCATTGTATACTCACAGTAGGTCCAATGAGCTCGGTCTATCCATTGAAAGTCGCTGATAATATGTAATAGCGACCCAAAGAACTGTGACATAAACGATTCTCGATCGGTGACCCAGTTTCTCGTCACCGTCATGCCTGTCGAACCACTAACCTAGTTTTTCAACCAATGGGGCTCGTGCTGCCGCCGTAGGTGCCACTCTAGCCAATCAGACACAAGTTGAGGCTGGGACCCTATGATGGGCGTACTAATTGACCAATGAGAGGCAGCGTCGAACGGAATGCAGGGGCAGCTTGTGTGTGAGAGTGTGTATGAAGAACACTGCATTACAAGTCCGTGTGGTAATGAGAGGTAGTTGGTGGCGTGCATTCATCATGTTTCTCCACGTTATTTGTTGGGGTCCTTTAATGTGTCACTGGTGTTGTTATACAGCTGAAGGTAAACTTATCATTTTCATTCTAAAATGGATTTATTGTGATTTTAGTATTTTGTTAGAGCAACTAAGAAAACATGTAACTCCCTCCTTGTCTGGGTCAAGTTCTTTAGTAGCCTGCACTGTGCACATTGACGCCCCCTGCTGGTCATTCTTTTACATCTTCTACTGTCCAAACACAGAAACACACAATTTAGATGATTTTTCCCTACTTATGTTATTATTTTTCATTTATGTTGAAACTATATGAGGGTAAATGAAACGATCAATACCACCAGCCAGACATTACAGTTATTCATTACATTTTGATTCAGTTTCTGTCATTTCTGCAACTGTAAGTGTTTTTAATATTTGGGTGTGATGAAGCTGCCCCACCTCGCCTCCTTATTTATAGACGGTTGTCTCCACATGACACCAGAGCGGCTGATACTACATGAAACTGAAGCTTCTGTGATTTGTCAGGCTTGGTGAGAGTTAACAGTCAGCCTACTTGTAGTTTACAGGTTAAATCAAAGTAAGGTGAATATACAAACTCCTCTATACATTAGTATACCTCTGCTAGATATATTTCCTTGGTATTTTTTTATTTACCTGTATTATCTGCCCTTACCTGAACCTGTCTGTGTTCTCTCCACATGTCACACGGACTGTCATTATCATGGAAGTGGAACAGTGTACAGGTAGTTGTTAAAACCTTAATTTAATTTAGGGTAGTGGGTTATAATCCATATCATTTATGGTGAGTCATGGTAAAAATATAAGAATCACCTTACACTGACTGCATACATATGTATGATTTAAGTACATTGTATTTCTTAGGTGCATCACCATTCTATTATTATTGTGATTAAATGACAAATTATGAATGAAAACAAAATGTAGCAAATAAATACATAGATTTAAATGTACTGAATTGTAATTTATTAAAATAATGGTATCTGATACCAGATCGGCCCATGGTCACTGATAACCGAGCTGTTTGAGTCAATATCGGACCGATATCTGATGTCAGTATTGGTGCGTCTCTGATTACAATCCATAAGATACCAAAATACCGCTGCTCCTCATTACAGTCAGTTTTATCTGCACTACTGTAGCCCCATATTCGTATTCTCACATACTTTTTACATGAATCACTCCAGCCAGACATATACAAATTATTTCATCAGGAACAAATGCCATGCCAATTACGGAAGCAAGTCAAAGGAGACGGAAATTGTTATTGCAAACATACACTGTGCCAATAGATGGCAGTGTTGAGTTGTATTAATACTACAAAGGATGTAACAACAATGATGTGAAAGTGTGGTTGTAAATTATTTATTTGAATTTATTTGGTATGTTGCCCTCTACTGCCTGAAAATATGGGAGGTCGTTACCTGAATAACTTTTTGGAGGAGTGTTGAGTTTAATGTCCCTCAATTCAAATTATCCAAATTATTCCAATTATTCTGCTATTGTGCTTCATTGATGTACCGTTGGAGACATTTTTTTGTATATATTTTGGTACAGTTAATGTTCCAACATTAATGCACATTAATATGGGGAAATAATTGGGTTGTCTGTGAGGTCTGTGTTGCCAACACGAAACGTTTAAGACTTAGTCAGAATACCAATAGTTTGGATGATCAATAGTTGCCATAGTTCATAGTTTTGTGTTGCATTTGTATATTACTTGCCAATATGTATAAATGATTAACGTAACTGTTTGTTAGACCAGTAGCCCATAGACAAACACTTATTGTAACAAGTAACAGGCCTATAACAGATATTTGTGTTTGCATTAAATAATAGCAACGGAAATAACCTACTTGCGTGGCACCTGTTTTCATTCACCGATATACATTATTATAACAAAAAGGTCCGGTATGAATGTGTCAGGCAGATGTGAGATATTACGAGGGGCTCCTGAAGGCACCGTGCCTATCACATGGCAGGTGATAGTTGAGGAAGCTCGCGCTTCACCACAGCGCACAGAGAGCTCCACACGGTACGGTCCGCCACCGTCCAGAGCGCCTTGCATGTGTGAGTGTGTTTTATGTGTGTGTGAGGGGCACGTGTGTGTGTGCGTGTGTGTGTGTGAGAGTGAGTGAGTGTGTGTTAACTCCAAGTGTCTGCAGCAAACTAAATTAAAGGATTTAGTTGGATAAAGCCTCAGCGGAGTCGCATTGTAAGTAATATAACTGCACGCAGCTGATTACTGTGGTAACCTGTCATGTATCGCCTCCAGTGAGACTTCACCTGTCTGTCATCGGGACTGTCACAGATAAGTTCACTATGAACTTAATAGACAAGTCCATATAGCTGGATGTAAGGGACTCCGAGGGAGTATTGTGCGGCTGGCTCGGTTTTAACATTCTGCTTTCTTTTTTAAACACATTAAAAGTGATTTCATATTTCATGTTCCCTGAGGACAAACTATGATAGCCTCATAAACCTTAAATATGTATATCTGGACTGTGACATTAGCATACCTTTCATCCTCTGTAGCTGCTCATATGAAATACAACAGAGGCTACTAATGCTAATACTGTGCTACTATATTCATGGGTGCAGTGATGTGGTAGCACCATATCTCAAGGATCTCAACTTGCTGATGTTATCAATGTAACAGTCATACTGTAGAATACACAGGGCAGGTGTGTGGTAATTATTATGCACTTTTATTTCATAGGCTGGACTTTTTCCACATGACAGAAAATGTGTCTTGTGTACAAGCGACATGCTAGAAAACATGGTGCTTTAGTTGTGGCACTGGTTCTTCTCAGTCATGTACTGTCAGCTTGCAGCTATTAAATGATGTTTAGTTGCACTGACACATGCTGTGTAATTGCAGATCATCAATTTGTGACAGCATGAGTAAAGGGCGGAGGGAGAGAAAGAGGGGACGCTGATATGCTAATAGCAGAATATCAAGGCTGATGTGTGGCTCCCCTCTGCTGAAGCATCTGCTGCATCTAATCCTGGAGATAGTGTTCATGAACAGACAGAGACGTGCACATGCACAGACATCACAGACAGGCGACTTGAGAGAGCTGAAGGAGCCTCTTGCCTCTGAATACAGCGGGCTGCGGCCTCTTTTCTATTGCAAATCTCATTTAAAAGGGAGTGAGTTGAAAGGCGTCATTGCACTGACGACAGTGAATTGATAACGCTGCTTTGGTTGGCTCTTGGGTGGCATTAGCACTTCTAAGTGGCGATGAATAAATGCCCGACATTTATAACAAATGTATTGTTGTAGTAGTTATCAAACAATGTTATTAGCTTACTTTGGAGTAGGCTTTAGAGCTATGTCTCTGTACATATGCATGCATTGTGTAAACACATGGGATCAGCAGATGATGGCATTCATCCCTGGATCAAATCCGCTTTCCTATGCAGCCATATAGGTTCAGCTGCTAATCACACCTCTAATGTAGTTCACTGCTCTGTCATCACAACTACTGCTACTAATCGCACCTCTACTGTAGTTCACTGCTCTGTCATCACAACTACTGCTA